CCCCAAAACCCCAAAACCCCAAAACCCCAAAACCCCTGTTTAAACATTTATTTTAAAGATGCAGTAAATGATATATTGGCTAGAGGTAATTAAATTATTAGTGGTAGTTTTCATTTTGTTTATATGTAGCAACTCTTTCGATTCTTCAGTCATTTAGGTTGATATCAAAGTCAAACACAGGTCTGTCTTTAGAGATGCCTTCCCACATTATGAATCTGCCCATGAGACGCTCGAACATAGCATCACCTAGATTAGACATCTCATCAAGTTCCTTCTATATGTCTCTGCCATCGAAGTATTCAGCGAAGCTCTTTTTAATGTAATTGAAAATTTCTCTTCTATGTGTTCTTGGACCGAGTTCATTTACTACGAAAATAGAATAAGGCACGTTGTCAACTCTTGCAGGCACAGTAAGAACTCTATCATCTTATTCTTGCTCTACTAATTTAGTTGTATATGACTGTTGAACTTGTCCATTATCGTCAAGATACTCTACTTGAACATTTTCTTGTTTTCTTGGTATTTTCAAGAAAACAATAGCTCTTTCATTCGTGTTTTTCTCAGTAACAACTTTTGTGATTTGTTATCCTGTTTCTTAATCGATTTCTTAGCCAGTTACAGATGACTCATGGATATGCTTAGGAATTGGAACAAGTTTTATCTTGTTAATGACTTGTTCTAACTTAGCATTGTTGAAACTGACATCAGAGGGGAGTTTCTTAGAAAGAATATCAACAATCATATTTTAAAGTTGAACAATCAGATCATAGCTGAACATTCCTTCAATAAAGTCTGATTCATTCCTCATTATTCTTAAAACAAATGATCCTGGATTCTCATTCATGCTATTCTTAAGCAATTTAAGGTTGTTTTCATCTACTTTGTGAAGCTCATTGAGATTTATTTTGAGTTATTCAACTAAGGCAGCTGTTTGTTCGCTAATCAGAAGGGTGAAAGAATCATTTTTAAGATCTTTGATATAGTTCAAAATGAACGTGAAAAGTCCTGGTCCATCAACAAGTTCTAAGGGATGTTTTTTGACTGCATTCTTGCTAAGATCTTTTTAGGATTGAGTATTTTAAAGAGTGTGCTCTGAACCATCATTTTTCATTCTCTCTTAATTTGCTTACTCTATTGCTCTGATACATTAGAGAGCCAAGGCAACCTGAGTAATGTGCCCTCCAACTGAACCAATAAATGACTTTCCTTTTTCGTAATGACCATGCACTTCCATTAAGTCTTGTTATAAAATGTGGTCTCTTGGCTCACCTTTATCTACGAAGTTAGTTTTGATTTCATTTTTAAGTTTTTCCAGTTCTTGTTGCTTTCTTCTTTCTTCTCTAAGCTCTCTTCGTCTTTTCCTATGGTTTTCTTTTTCCTCAATCAAATACTGCTTGTAACTAATAGCATCTTTTCTCTTTTACATTTCCATCTCGATCCCCTATCTATGCTGAGCTTTAGCAAGTTCAAATGCTCCTTTAATGACATCTTCTACTGTAAATTCTTGAATATCTTCATCTTCAATAAATTCAGCCATTTGCTCTAACACCCAAGGCATGACGTTTTCAGTCATTACCTACTCAATCGGCTCAATAAGCATGCCTTAATCTTTTAGAGCCTTTAGAGCGTTTTCTCTAAGTCCGACTAAATATGATTTTGCCATAACTCTGGCAACATGCTTCTTGTGAGCAGCTCTTTTCTCCTCTTTTCTAGCTTTTTACTAAACTCTTCTTCTCTCAAGTTCTTATTTGCGTCTGAGTTCTGCAGCTTCCAATCTCTATGCTTCTATTAATTCAGCATTTCTGATTTCCTCATATTCCTTTTACTAAGTTCTCATGATTCTAAGTTCTTCCTCCTCAAGAACTCTCATTCTTGCTTGCTCAAGAGTCTTAGTTATGAGAACATTCAACATAGGCTCAATTTCTCTTTCAAAATCAAATAATTCTGGATCGTTTTCATCAATTTAAATTGCTTTGCAATTATCTTTAGAAGGCATCTTAGGATTAAATAGTGGAACTGGAGGTCTATCTAAATAGAACTCAGTAGCAACACCTTCTTCTCTTTCAGGCGGCTTGTCAGTCAAGTTTTCAACATACTTTTCAGTCTAAATCTCCATGTGTAATCTGCCTGGGACTGGCTCTGGAGTGGGAATATCTCTGTTTGGATAAATAACTCTCGCTTGAGGTGATTGAAGATCCTATTTTAAATTTATAACTGCCATTATCATACTTGTTGTGTTCTTTTAAATGATTTAGTTTTCCTTGTATCGTTCTTTTTATCCATCATCATTGCATCTGGGTTAGTTCCTGCTGGTATAACCATAGCTGCATATGTGCTTCCTCTTGCAACACGTTTGTCATGCATAATGTTTTATGGATAATATTCTCTAAATTTAAGTATTAGCACATCAATAATGTCCCATAATAAATCCCTTACTCCTAAATCTTTCCCCCATAAGGATCTTTGTACTTTGGCTTCCCTTGAATGACTTTTGGCATAGCGGCAAAGTCATTGCCTCCATAGCCTACTCCTCCCATACTTCTTCCGTAATCTAACATATTTGTTTTTCTATGAATTATATATTTATTTCTTTTATTTTCGTTTAAATTATTTCACCTGGGGTTTTGGGGTTTTGGGGAGATCGGAAGA